GGCCTGGGATGCAGGGCCACTCGGGTCACTGGTCTTTGGATCTCCAGGTGCTTTGGCCTGGGATGCAGGGCCACTTGGGTCACTGATCTTTGGATCTCCAGATGCTTGTGTCTGGGATGCGGGGCCACTCGAAGGGTCACTGCAGGGTGCGGCTGTTTGAGCTGTAGGGCCAGCCGTATGGCTCCAAGCCGCGCTGCAAGGCATGCCACTTCCAGTTCGGCCTCCCTGGGGGTCTCCAGGTAGGAATGAACTTACAGGGTCACCACCATGCAAGGTTCGGGGCCGGTCCGACTCCGCTTGCGGGCTGGGCTCGCAGAGTCTCTGCGGGGGATTTGAGGGACCCGAGCTCCAGTGTGGAGCGCTGCTGTGGGCTGGACGGGATGGATGGGATGGCTGAGGACTAGCAGTGCCGTGAAGTTGTGGTGGCTGAAACTGATGAGACGAACACATGGCTTGACGGTGTCTCTCATCCATCTCCTTGGCGAGAGAACGCGCCGACCAAAAATCCGCTCATCTGTTCTCATGGGGTGAGTCATGTCGTGCCAAGCCTACAGTTTTGGTGCTTGACTGACCTGTAGGAGCATCCTCCAACAGGTCACCACCTGCCACATTTAAGTCTTCAAAAGCCACCAGAGCAGACCTCTTGGAGGGTGCTTGTAGTTCCTTCCTAACGTTGAGGGAGCAACCCATTCTTGAAGCATGTGGATTAGGGAGGCATGTGCGCAAAGACCAAGTGTTGGATGAGAACTCCGATGAACCAAAGCACATGCGAAAAGAAGACAGAAAACAACCGTCGACCTCTCACAACACAGGATTCTCAACGTTCAGGGGATCATCCGTCTTCAGAGGATGCGAGATCCCTCAAACAAAAACTGCCACTCGAATTAATGGATCGGTGATTGGCTCGGGCGACTTTGTTCCTGCCATTTGTGCTTAACTTTGGTGTCTTTACTTCGTGGTATCCTAGTTGCACACTTCTTTTGGGTCACGTCGAGCTGAGCCTGACACCAGCCTGGCTGGGCCTAACCAGGAGAAATCATCCAACAAGCGACTGCGGAAAAGCTCCCAACTGGACCAAAAGAACTGCAAAAATATCCAAAACACATGAAAACTCTCTCCTAAAGAGTGTGGAAAACAAGTTGCAGATTGGGAGAAAAAAGGCTGGACGTGGGTCTGTGCCTCAAAGCACCTTCTTTGCATTGATAGACATGTTGGCAAACTGCGAGACAAGTGCTTCAGCTTCTGTGCAAAACACACGGCGTTTGATCAAGGAACATGTGTGTTTCATAGAACAGGGTTCCTCTCCAAAAGAATGTGCGCAAATTTGGCGGAGGTTTGCTACCAAAAGGTCTGGCGATGGTAAAAACAAAGCGTTGGCTCTGAATTGCTGGCTTCATCGCTTCAGAGCCGAAGAACTAGAGGGTTAGCCGGTTAGCCCAAAGCGAAGATGAAAATACTGAGCGGATGGTATACGTCTCTAAAATGTTGGCGAAAGGAACACTCACAAGTGTCAGTGTCAGCTTCATGAAAGAACCGCTAACCACAGTGCTGCCGCAGCCTGATTTAAGCAACGGGCAAAAACTTTGAAGATTCTCGTGGGATGAAGAAGGATGCCCATAGACCAGAGCTGACGCTCTGGTCTGCATGGTTCAAAAATAGGTGAAAAACACACCAGCTGCCATGAAAAGAAATGAAAAGAATATGAAATTCGCTCCAAGGATCCCTCCACATCATCTGGTCTTGTGACAGCGGCACCTGCTTGTAGTCTGGGCATGGCATTTGTTTGCACCAGGGGCAGTCCTTTTGAGGTCGCGACCAGGCAGCGCTGAGCATGCTAGGTTCGCTGGGTGCCCGCGTTTGGAAGCCGTAATCCGGACATGGAAAGGAGGCCGACGCGCGCGAGGAGTTCATCACCGAGCTTTGTGGCTGAAATGTTGGGATGGATTCGGCCACAGCCGTATGGCGCACGTGGCTCGGACATCGCTCCGGCGACCGCCTCCAGCGATTGGCGCCATCGGGCGGGCTCTCCCAGCGTGGCGCCTCTGGACCGGGCCTTTGGCGCATGGGGCTGTCCACGAAACCGGGCAAGGCCATGGTGCTCTCGCTTCCGGGCCATGGTGCTCTCACTGGGGAAACGGGGCGGAAGGGATCGACTTGCCTGGCCCACAGGTCCATGCCTCGTGCCCAGGAGTCCAGGCAACCGGCCCTCGGAGGGGTGAAGGTGGGGCTCGATCGAAAGGCTTGGCTGGAAACCTGGCCGACTGGGCTTTCTCGGCCGTCTGGACTGGCACCCCATTGGAATGGGGAACCCACCATGTGCGAC